GTCGAAAGTCGAAGTAGACCTTGCCACCCCTAACATATCGAGACCTAACCGCCAAAATAACGTAAGCGACATTTTTTTCAAAATTTTATTCTTGATGCAGAAATATTCCTAGAGCATCTACATGCATTTCTGCATCAAAAATAAAATTTCGAAAAAAAATGTCGCTTCCGTTATTTTGGCGGTTAGGGCTCGATATGTATAACGAAAAATCAGGTTCACATTCTAACAATATTTATTTGTCCTGAAACTATGGAATACGAGTATGAAACCCTTTTCGCCCCAATATCATTTACATATCGCACACCGATCTAAAGTGCGATCAACTCAAAAAAATTGATGGGCGATTTTTTTGCATAAGTCAAGTCATAGGACTTACATTAACTAAAAAACTACTTTTATACCTGTTTTTGTATTAATTGCTAATTTTAAATTTTAGATATTAACATTTATGAATTTCAATACTTTTATGCTCCCATTTGCTTGCCCAAGGTTGACCCAGGATAGCCCAACCTTTTTTTCGCAAGCCCACCCTTAGTTCAAAAGTTATAATAAAAGCAAATTTGTTCATACTGAAAACCAAAATTTGTGAATTTCAATAATTTTACGCTGTAATTCGTTAGCCCAATGTTAGCCCAGGATAGCCCAATTTTTTTTTTCGTTAACCCACCCTTAGTTCAAAAGTTATAACAAAAACAAATTTTTTCGTACTAAATACTAAAAAAGATGTATGAATTTCACTATTTTTACGCTCTCATTCGATTGCCCAAGGTTAGCCCAGGATAGCCCAACCTTTTTTTCGTTAGCCCACCCTTATATCAAAAGTTATAACACAAATTTTTTTCATATTACAAATTTAAATTTTTTAATTTTAATATTTTTACGCTGTAATTCGTTAGCGCAATGTTAGCCTAGGATAGCCCAACTTTTTTATTCTTTAGCCCACATTTAGTTCAAAAGTTATAACAAAAAAAAATCGTACTAAATTTTAAAATTTATGAATTTCAATATTTTTACGCTCTCATTCGATTGCCCAAGGTTAGCCCAGGGCATGAATCACGTATGACGACAATCGTCTGGACGATATCGTGCTGAGATTGTCTTGTTTCATGAAAACCAAAAAATTGTGGGTCGTTTGTGCGATATCGTCTACTCAATTCCAGTTTTGCTTCACGTAACAGTAGCACGTAACAGCAAAACAAATGCATGAATCAGTATTTCGACGACATCGTTTTGTCAGTATCGTTTGAACCGGGGAATGGCATTGGTTGATCGTCAACTGTTCATACTCATTCAATACCGCTGCTTTGTATGACTGAGCAGCGGCGTTGGCTTACTGCCATCCCTAAATTGGCGCGTCAAGCGCCAAACAACTGTC